CGTATTAATGTTTCTGGTGATCGGTATAAAAATACAAGTTTAGCAAAAAATTCTTCTTCAAAACGTAACATATGATTTTCTCGAACTAAATAAATATCAAGTAAAAGATGCCATAAATGTTCAACATTTGGTAATTCATTAAACATTATTGTTGTACTTGTTTGCAAGATTGTACGAAACAATCGAGCAACAACAATCACAAATGTTGTATATAAACCAATTATTCTATATAGAAAAATAGAATAATATATATATATATATCATATTTTCTTTCTGAATAAAAAACAAATTTCTAGACTTAAGACTATCTATACTATGAAAACTTTTATCTAATAGATTCATATTTGTGGATTACAATAAAACAATTCATTTTTAGTTCCGTGATCATGATTTTTTTTTCCTAATAAATAAATATCGTTTACAAGAGTTCCAAAATGCTTCGACTTGTGATGATTCGTCAAACATTATTGAAGGAAATAAATTACATAATTTATAAGAATAACTGAAATTATTGATATATAGATGGCAATAATACTACATAGTTTGTAAAAGAAAACAAATACAAAAAGAAAGAACAAGTTGCTACTACTCTCAAGTCATGAAACGATTTTCAAAGTTCGTCATTGTTTCATTGAACGAAAGCGAAATTTTTGCAACTTGAATAGATTGTTGTAGCTACTTAATACTAAATAACTACAAAATTTCAATTCGATAGCTTTGACTCTAGATGAGTAACTGTAATAAGCCTATCGTACACTATTGTATCAATTTCCCAGTTACTTAGGTTGATACTTTTAAATCAAAATAAATATAATCCATATCAATTTATCAATGATTCTTTGACGTGATGAAATATTGATTTGTTTTATTCTATTTTAATATCATTTTTCGATTGTCCGATGTTATTGTGTTCTCGCCCTCATATTTTTTTTGTTTTAATAGATTTCAAATGTATTCTATAGGTTGAATGTCCGCTAATTATGTAACAAAATTTTCTGGTTGAATTCAAAGCTATGCATATTCTTTATTTAGAATCTTCATCATCTTGAAAAATTATTATTTTCTAAATCGTATAATTCTTTGGCTTTTTTTTCCATTGTTAACTTCTATATATTTCTTCGATCGACATGTACGGAAATAAAAACACATTTCCGACATCGAACTGAATCAGTTCAAGTTATTGAAAATTTGATAATATAGTGCATGATAGTTTTGTTACAATTTCTCATCTATAATCAAAGCTACCGATCTGAAACTTTGTAGTTATTCAGTACTAATAAACACAATAATCTGGCAAAGTTGAAAAAAACTTTGCTTTTGTCGAATAGAAGAGCGATAAATTTTGAAAATCGTCTCAGAACTTGTGAAAAATGTCATATGTATATAATAAAATTTTATCAGATAAATAGAACATGCGGTGAACGCTATGAAAGCAAAGCTAAAAAATGTAAAAATTACAAACCCATATCGAGTAAGAAATGAAATATTAGCCGGTGAAACTTTATCATTGAAAAAGATCATAGTCAAATAATTTCGATTGGGATAGGCACCTGAAAATATTAGAAAAATAAAAATCAATGTACATTCTATATTATAAACTTAAGTTTTTCTTACATGATGGATTATAATTATATCTATTTCCATGTTCTGACATTTCCCACCAAACATCTGTACTATTTGGAATTGTTGTTGTACGATTTAAACCCATTGTAACATTACCATAATAATCATTTAGAAAAACTAAAAAAAAACAAATTTGATTTTAAATAATTAATAAAATTTCTAAGAATATAATTTACTATTTTTAAAAGCAAGAATTTCTTCTGGATTTGCTTTTGGTCGAACATGTAGAAATCTTGGTAATAAATTAACAATTGTAAAATTTCTAAAATAAATAATTATTAAATATTTTTTTAATAATATTATCAAATATACGTCGTTGTTTGTATATCCATTGTTCCATTGAGTATATCAATTAATGCATGTCGAATATCTTTATCATTTGCTTTTATATCAATTGTATGTTCACCTGTTACAACAGTTGCAAGATCTCCTGAATAATCTTGATCTGTTAAATAACGTCTTATTGTATATGAAAATCGAACAGGTACTGAAACATTTGAACGTAAACTATTAACAACAATATCACGTATTGGTTGACTTATTTCCCAAAGATCAACACTTGTAGCAAATAAATTTACACAACGAATATCATCAGGATTAAAATCACGTAAAAATCCATAAGCACCATCCTGTTTTAAATAATAAAAAAAAAGAAAGCATATTTATTAATATAGTCTTGAATAGATTTTATTTGACAATGAATATATATAAAATACAGATCTTCTTCACATACAAAAGATTCTAGTTTAGATCAATTGAATTGTCAACATACAGGGATAAGTACATAAAATAGATTATCTATAAGTTTCTATCTCCACAATAGAATTAACTTTTAATGAGATATTCATATTGATAAAACTAACATTTATCCTTCCTGTAAACATCTCACACAACAGAATCGAACCGAGTTTTTACTGGTTCGAATGTCTGTTATACAATGATGACATTTTACTAGAAGTACCTAAATAATCTAGACATGTGTAAAATTAACTTTTTTTGTGTCTCCGAAACTGAGACCAAAACTAATAAAACAACCTGTATATCTATTCTTAGTACTGTTATGAACTCTTTTCGCTAATAAAGCGGTTTCATAGCTCACAACATAGTTCTTTCAATCGTTGAATTCAAAATTGATTCTAATATCTGAATTAAATCATTGAATTGGTAGATATACATACTTTATTTGTTGTTTCTACATTTAATGATTCAATTCTATCACGTAATCTCTTCAAGTCAGCCATTGTAAATGGTACTAAATCGATATCTTGTGCTGTCATTTGATAAATTGGCTATACAAAAAAAAAATAAGAATAATAAATAAAGAAAATAAGAATAATGAATGATCATACCAAATATGGACCTAATTTAATTTCAACATTAACTTCTTTAGGTGGATTTGGTTGATAAAATGATGAAGAAAATGAAAAAAATAATAGTGGAAACCAAATTAATAAAATTAATAAAACTAATAATGAACCACCAACACCATATTTTGTTATTTTTGGTCGATTTACACCACGCTCAGTTGGATATTTCTAAAATAAAAATATAATTCATTAAAAATTTATCTTTAATTTAAATTTATTTTAACTTGTTCAGCCCATCGTGCACATTTCAATAAATAAACATTCGAATAAATATCTTCTAATTGTAACCAACTTGATAATCCAAGTGCTGTATTTGTAAAAATCCAATCCATAATTGTTCGTAATTCAAGTAAAAATGGAATCAATAAATAACTAAACATAGATAAAAAAGAAAAAGAAATATATTAAATTAAAAATTCAATTTAAAATAGATAATTTCTTACATTCGATATAATATTTGATTAACATAAGTAAATCTTTTCATAAGAAAATTTCCAGCTATACGTTTTGGATAACCTAATCGTATTTGTGTTGATGAATAACCAAAAGAAATACATTTAAATAAATACCAAAATTGAGCAGCAACATTATCACGAAATTTACTTTACAAAAAAAAAAATAAATAAATAAATAATTTCAATAGAATAATTCATATATACATATGTGTTATAGCAGGTAATACAAAAAATAACCAAACATGTACACCAATAACTTGAAATAATTGAAAAAAGAATTTTCCACGAACATTTCGACGTAAATAAAGTGCTCGATCAATTATTATTAATATAAATTGAATTAAAAGCAATACAAGAAAAGCTACAGGAACCTTAAGACAGAAAAAAAAAAGAAAATAATAATAATACAAATTTAATTATAAATTCAAATAAATATATTTAACTTTATTTTCTTTGATTGTTTGTACAACAGTATTACCAGCAGCTCTTTCCTAAATATTTTATAAAAAATTTATTTTTATTTATTTAGAAAAAATAGAAATATGAAATAGTGCATAATCCCAACCAATGTGAAAGGAGGAGATTTCTATTATTTCTTATCTTATAATTCAAGTTCACATATATGTGATTTATTTATTATCCTTTGAATTTTTGTTAACTGTTATAATGAATCAATATGAAAAAAAAAACTTTTAATTTTTAAAAATAACTTACACCAAATTGACTATAAAAACATATAACGATAATCATATTAATAAAATCACAAAAAAATAATGATGCATAAACATCATGAACAAATAATGATTGTTGAGGTTGTCGATAAAAATTAATAATTGCTTTCAGAAAATATCCACTAATTCAAAAAGAAAAAAGATAATTATTTTAAATATTGAAATTTTTGTATATAGAATATTTCATTTAATTCACCTTTTTACTTTCGGTGGTTCTAATTGAGAAGTTTCTTGTTGAATAGATCGACTAGTATCTTGATCAACTGAATCTAATCATAATGAATTATGAAATTTATGATTTTGTATATTTCATAAAAGAGTCTAGGATAATTGCTTACCAGATCGAGGCTAATCAATATTCAGCAGATACTTTCAGAGTCATAGTCTTTATTTTATATGAAAAAGTTTACTTTTTAGTTTCTTTCATGAACAGGAACAAAAAATACAAGAGATCATCTTAAGTATACAATTGTCTATTGCTGATATCGTTGGGAAGAAATTCAGTGTTGATTTCAAATGTCACAATTGTGAATGCATACAAGAATGCATTCTCTATCACGATAATACATGTTCAGTTTTTCGATAATTTATTTTTCTCTTCATGTATTCAATTACTTCATCATATGGTTCCTCATAATCTGTAGATGAATTTTCTTAGTAAAACAATATCGTATTTAACGACCCGATTGCAGGACACTTAATCGGGACATATGCTCTCTAAAGCACTTGCTCACATGGATGTGAGTATGAATGAAGAGAAGACCCACACCTGCGAGCAAGTATCTTGACGAGCAACTGTTCGGCTTCTCAATAAAATGTGAAAATAAAAACTGTCTTTAGATTCCAACATAGGTATTCGTTTTTAGAGAATAACGGGTGAAAAACTTGTTTTTTTTTCAGTCCATTGTGCAAATATATTAGAAATTTATCATAGTTCAAAAATCTCAAGTTCTGATTTGTCACTAGTGAGTTTTAATTTTCCTATTGAACTAAACTTTGTATACGTAGTCGAAAGTTTCGAGCACTTGATGTTCAACATTAACTGTCGTAGTAATGAATCGTGATATTTTCATATAAATTATCAACATTTAAAGAAATACGCTGACTTCTGACATTAAGTAGAATTTCTCTAGGAATAATTTCATTGAACTATTTATTATAGTCTAGTCAATTAGCCTATCATTTAATGTACCTGTTTCTGCTTTCCAAAGTCCGAGTTGCTAAAATAGAAAAAAAAACAAAAATAATAATTAATACAACACAAAATAAAACCATAATTAAATATATACTTTTAATATTGATCGATGAAGAAATAAAGATAAAAGTAGAAAAAGATCTGCAGCTGATGCACCATCTTCTTTTCGATTAATTCCAATAATATTTACTGGTGATAATGGATTTGTTTCAGTTATTTCTGAAGCATTCCATGGATAAAAACGAAATTGAAATATATATTTAACAACAATCATTGCTTCTGTATAAGTTATTATTGTAATCCAATAATTTCTTGTTGGTCGTGATAATAACATAGCCCAAAGAAATATTGATAATGGTAATGGTATTGAAAGTAATGAACCTGATGTTAAATGATTGATTACCATTGCTGAATAACATACAAGTTCCGAACGAGACATTATAAAATAAAATAATGAATCAAAAAAACGATAAAAACGTGAACGTTCATTTAAATTAGTTGTTTGAGTATGTATGGGAATGTTATTATGACTGAATAAATTAAAAATCGATTAGAATTAAAAGAAAAAAAATTTTCATTAGAAAAATTTACTCATCATTTTGTGGAGTAGTAGGATCAGCGTCATCGAGATTAATAGTTGTAGCCTAGAAGAAGAAGAAAAAAATAAAAAGATAAAATAATTTTCTTTAGAATATAAAAGAAAAATATTAAATTTACTGTTGTAATATTTATTTGTGAACGAGTACGTTCTTGTTGTTGATTTATTTTATCTTGTGTTTTCATTTGAGATAATTTTCTTGAAACTTCTCTATAATCTCGTGAATGTCGATTAAATGAATCAATAAAATAATCAACAACAATTTGACCAATTAAACATATTTTAAAAAAAAATGATTTTTGACTTTGTTCAGATTCTTCAATTAAATAAACATTAATAAAATATTATAAATAGATTTAATTCTACCTTTCGGTTCAACAGATATTGTCTGTTCACTAGTCGATGATGGTATCGTTTCAGTAGTTATTGGTGTTACTGGAGGTTGAATAGGTGATGCTGGAAGAAATTCTTGATCGTCTGATTCAGAAAGAGATGTACTCGAAGGTTCTAAAAGAAATATTTTTATTTGTTCCAATCGAATCTTAAAAGATTCTTCAAAAATATTAGTAGAAATCCCTCAAACTATTCGATATAGATGTAATAAAGTTAAAGTTTTTTTTTTTTCCGAAATGACTTACTTTGTGCAACAGCAGCAGCAGCTGTCTGTTTATCACGTGCTGTTAAAACTTGAAGAATCTAAAATAGAACATAATTATTTATTTTTCTTTCTTTTTTGTCTTTTGATTTACTTGTTCTTGAGCAAAAGTTGCTTCATCTTGCTTTCCTTCATCTTCTTCTTCATCTGATTCGTACTCAAACATATAATAATCACCTGATCGAATTACTAGAAAAAATTCAAAATTTTTGAATATTTGATATTTCTTTCTTTCTTTCTTTCTTCTAAAACAAACCTGCAAAATGTTCAGCTGAATCGCCAAGTGCTGCAGCAACTTTTCTACCGGATCGATTTACTTGTAATTGTTCTTTAATACGTTCTAAACTTCGAGTTATTTTTTTCACTGTTTGTTGTTCTTCTTCATCTTTTTCATCTATACGTTGACGTGAGATATCATTAAATAAAACAGCACCTTGACTAGCTAATTTAGCTTGTGAACGAAGTTCAGCAACAATATGTTCCCAATAATAACTACCAAATATTCGTTTTTGTAATAATAAACATATCAAACAGAATCCATCCCTATCGATTAATATATTTAAAAACTTAAAGTTATGAATAAGAAATTTACATAAAAAGACTAGCATCAGTTGCACTTTTATCACATTGTTCTGGAATGCCTAGAAATTCAATCAAAAAGAAAATTAAACTTAAATTCTCTATTAACCAAAACAAAAAGAAAATTAAAATAAGAATATACCCTTAGATGATGCAGGACAATCTCTTGGAGGAATAAAGTCCAATCTTAAGCATGGTACAAGCAAGTCGACAAATGTACACAATGAAGATGTACGTTTCACCCCTTCACAAGGTGTCAATGGATAAAGAAAAATGCAAACAGCCACCTAAGAGAGAAGAATCAATTTTAATCAAGGATCATGCTTTATTATCAAAGAAGATATATAAAAGAATTGATAAAATTAAAGCATTTAATTAACTAGAACTACTTTTTGAACTGTCTGATGCTTTACAAGCAACCGCAAAGATTTCCTGTATAATGCATTGAGTTGATAAAATATCAATACAAGCAACTATCTGAAAATGTTGATTTCTTTTTTCTTTTCTTAAATTCTTCTTAATAAAAGCATTTCTATTGTTCTTACTTGTAAACATGCTTTAATAAATATAACCGAAAAACAGTAATAAATTAAATATGTCCATCTAAAATAAAATATTAGAAATAAAAAAAGAAATCAAAATCTATGATTAAACATACATCCGAAGCATAACTGTAACTTGTTTAGTTAAAAAATCTTGTCCATACCAAAAAAAATAAAAACATGCTACAAGATAACCAAGACCAAGTAAACTAATTCTTGTTATTCCAGCTAAATAAACAATTGATAAAACAACCCATGCACCATACATAAATATAGCATATTTTATTTGATCAAACCAATGTCGTTTATTCATAACAAAATCCCATGTTGGATTATCTTTATAAAGATCATTTTCATTAATTATTTCATTATTTGATCCACCTGCTTGAATATAAATACGATCTTTTTCATTAGTTTCATATTTAAATACACGCCATTGTTGACAAGCAAATAAAAGTTGAAAGAAATCAGCTAAATTAAGAAAACAAAAAAAACAATATCTTACTCTGAAGAAAAAAAAATTTAAGATTACCAATTAATTGTGTTGCTATTGGAGGATTTGTATAATCTGGTAAAAACAACCAACGTTTTAGTTGAACCCATCCATTAATTTTAATATTTGCCCATGGATAGTCTAGAAAAGAATGATGCATGTACTTCAGTTTGTTTTTTTAACAGAATATTTGAAATTTCAAAGATCTCTACAATATCATATCAATAGAAATCAGTATTCAAAACCTCACACTACGATAGATAGTCGAAAAATTCCATTGTAGTTTTATTCTGTGCAAAAAGCTGACGGTCAGCAAGCTTTAATATTTTGATAAAACTATCATGGTTTTCTTTAACCTCAATCAACTCTTGAATTCTCTTTTCTTCTTCTCGCTTACTTTCTCGTATATATGATTTATTTTCACAAAAAAAAACAACACATCTGATTGTCTATCTGAATTAAAGATCTCAGCTTATTATATTGATTTGTTGAAGTGATAATAGTACAATAAATTATATGCCAGTTGTATCATCAATATTATATATATTATCTATCACCTTTAGTTTTTTTATATAGCAGAAAAAAAAATGAAAAGTCACAGATTCTTGTGAGAAGAATCCATAAAAAATAAAAAATAATCTTAATCCAACAGTTTCTTTACAAATATAATTGATCTTAGTTCGATTTATCATTCTACAATAAATAAATAAAAAAGACTTGACCGATAATAAATAAGAGTTGGTAAAGATTAGTAAATATAGGAAGATCCATGGTAATATCTGGACTAGTAGAACAATCAATACGAGGCTGAATCGAGTCACATTTATTATACTTCATCACAAGCTTCTACTCTAGAACAGAACTCGACTGTCTGAGCTTTCACTCCTTCATTCCATCTTAAAGCCTGTCGGCTTAGTTTCAGACTCAATCGGGTGCGGATTCGAAAATTTTACACCCGAAGGCTCTATTCTCCCTGCTGTTAAAATCCTTGTTACGCTACTATTCTATACCAAGATAACTTTAAATTCATTAAAACGTAACTGTGAAAATCATTTTTATCCTACAACTCTTGTGTAGAACCAGATAATATATTATTTGATTAGTAGATTTATGATGGTAGCTAGGTTTAAATACTATAGTCAGGAAGAGTTTTATTATTTTTTGAATAAAATCAAAAATTCCAAAAAATATTATTATATACATCAAAGCTTTCTGCCCATCCGGACTCAATCAGTAAAAAATTTTTTAGACTCAGATCCAACAGACTCTATCTACAGTAATTATAGAGATACATCGAAGCGAAATCTATAAATATCTTCTTTATAATTCCGACATATAAAACTAATACTTTGTTATGAAAAATCTTGATCTTCTACTGGAAAATTGAAAATACTTACTGAAGCAAAGAAATGGTGGTGCTCCAACAGCACTCATATATTGAATAGGAAAAGAAATAATTAAAAAAAATATATAAATTGGCCATATTCGTTGAATAATACGTCTACTAGATATTAAAAATAATCCCAACCACATAGAATAAAGTACAGCTATCATATCAAGACGAATACCAACAACAATAACTGTTGTTATATAACATATCTAGAAAAAAATAATATTTTTTTTTGTTATATAAATAAATTTGTTTTCTTTTTTTGATTTACCTCTAAACCAAATCTATAAAAAATAAAATTTGCTAAATATTTCAAACAATCACAAATTCCTTGATCAGCTTGTTGATAATTAACGATATCAAATTCATATGTATCATCATCATCATTATTCATAGTTTTTAATGCAAATGGTTCAAATAAAATTGGAAAACGATTTTCAACAAGATGAACATTAAAACGAACTGTTAATGATGAACGACGATGTTTTTGTCGATATCGTACTATTGCATCAAATGTTAAACAAATTGTTAATAATATATAAAGCTAAAAAATAAAAATTTCAAAACTTTTTTCTTTTGTCTTTTTAAACAAGATTATCTTTTTCTTACACCAATAAATGGATCAATATTTTGTGTTGATTCAAGACCAAACCATTTAGCTGTATCATTCGGTATTAAACTCACATTTGAATCAATCTAAATGATATTCTTTATAGAAAGATAAAAAATTTAAAATTATTTAATTTTATTCTATACATGAGAACAATTTTTAATAAAAAAATTTTTTTCAATTATATGTTGTTTGGCTATTTCTAATTGATAACACATTGATAAAAGAATATAAAAACCTGTAGCACTTAATGTTAATAAATTTATTAATTTTCGAAGATGAAATAATGTTAAACCAATTGTTACTAAAATCATTAATACTGTATTAAATCCACATACCTAATAATACATGAATATTATTATTATTATTATTTTAAAAAAATAAGGATTTGTTATTTACTTTAAGTGTAGATGTAAGAACCATTATAAGTAGAACTAATTTAAAAACATGTAATTCAGCAAAACGCCAACCATAATAATTTATTTGTTTATAGAAACGATTTGTACGAAAATAAAATTTATATAATGTTTCTTGCCAAGTTTTTGCTTCACGTTGTAAGATTGGTTGAGTATGAAAATTATTAGCATGATCAGTATTTTCTAAAGAATCAGTAAGTATTGATAATGAAAATAAAAGGAAAATGTTTTACCTTTTGCAAATGTATGAATATCTTTTAATGTACCATTTGCTGGACCTTGAATATCCTTCTCACTAAAAAGTAGATATTGATAGTGTAGTCATAGTTAATTTGAGAGAAGAATTTTTATTTTATGCACACATAAAACAATAGAGATATTCTTTCTAACATAATTTCAATCGAACAAAAATCGCCACTAGTACAATATTCAAACAATAGATTGTTATTTCACTGCCGACATTAGTGATGAGCAGGATCAATCATTTTTTATCCTAGTTTTGCACTTAGCAATTTTTGTACTAGTGAAATATGCGATATAATTTTCTATGAGTTTGACACATCTCGCATGACTTCTAATATTCTCTCTGGAAGGTGCATTACTTGTTTTTAATTCACTAATACTTCGTTCATACGTTTGACAACTCTATTGTTTACAGAACAAAAAAAAAATTAATTTTACTATCAAAGTTATAACAGTAAATATTGACATGATCATTCATAACTACAAGTAGTGTAAACAAAACTCTAGCATGACGTTTTCTTTTTCAATGGGAAGATATCTATGAATTTGTATTTGCATTTATTGATACGAAGAAGAATAAATTAAACATAATATCAAAGTAAACACTTCAATAGACTCGATTATAAAATTACCTTGGCATAGAAATTAAATTCATCCAACCCGAATGAAAATAATACAATTGCATTATATTAACAACTAGAAATGTACTTGGTGTAAGTAATTTAAGTGCTAAAACATCTGATGGAACAACTTCAAGTCCAATTGATGCAAGTCTTACAAATAAAAAGAGAAAATCTATATTATTTCATATAGAAAAACTTACAATTGTTTACTAAATTTTTTTGATAAAAATACATTTACTTTTTCAAACTAAAAATATGAACAACAAAAATTTTTTTTTTTTTTTTTTTATAAAATAATCTTCTACTTGATAAATATATATTCCAATTAAAACTAACATTGAATAAATAACTATGATTAAATGAAATGTTGCTGCTGTTTTTCGCCAAAATCCAAATGAAATCTAATTTAAAAAAAAAACAATAAATATAATTATTTGTTTTATTCATCTCGAAGAATATTGATCATACTTGAAATGAAAGAATAAAAAATAAATAAAACACCATATAAATAATTCGATAGATCACGACAGTATTTTGAATACTAACAAGTAAGAGCATACCACATGATACAAATATCCAATATTTTGTTAATAAATTAATTAACCATCGTCCTTTAAAAAAAAAAATTTAATTTCAAAAAAAACAAAATCAAATAACTACCTAATCGACGAGGATATGAATCATTTGTTGTACTGTTTCGACGAGCTACAATAATAGTAAAAAGAAATAAGAATTAATTAAATTTTTTCAATAGAGCAAATCAATTTTAAGAAAAACTATTCAAACACACAGGCATAGATTTATTTCCCTCATCAAAATCATCTTACTTAATTCTATAACTGTAAAAAAACAAAGAAAAAGTAAAATTTATCTTTAATTTTGTTTTTTTACTCTTCAAAATTTAATGAAATAAACAAATAAATCATTACCTTCATTTACTTCTGTATTAGCAAGTCGTTTTTCATTAATATATTGTCGAAGTGTTAACCAAAAAAACATCATATAAAAAGACTAAAATAGATGAAAATTAATTCATTGAAAAAATATTCTATTATACAAAAATTTCATACTTTAAGTAATAATGGAATAAATGCTGGTTGAAAATCATCTATACGAATACCAATTTGTTCCATAGTTCGACGATCATATGCAAAATTTAATTGATTAAAACTTATTTTAAACCCAACTAAATATTGTAAAATTAATAATATTCCTCCATAGATTGTAAAAAATGGACTCATTCTTAAACACCATTGTCGAGAATTAGGTGATACCCAAAGTAAACATGCCCATAAAAGATAGACTAATGTTAATAAACTATGAAATGTTATACTCCATGCCTAAAATTAATCGAATTATTTGATGAAACAAAACAAAAATATATACTAACCAACATAGCAATCAATGATAATAAATAACTATGTCGTTCAAGTACACGAAGAATAGAAAAAATAACGAAAATAATTCGTCCTTGCCATGTTTGATCACCAGGTTGTTCTAAACTCCATCGTCGATGTGACAGTGGTGGACTTTGCTCAAGTATATCACGACCATCGCTACTTTGAACCAAACTCTAGAACATATATATATATATATGAAGTCAATATGATAATATATTATCATAATTTCATAAACGAAGCCCAGCAAAGTCGAAAAGAAAAAAAAATCGATTTGATAAACAATGCAAAAGCCAAATTTTCCTTCCGAATATAACTAAACTAAGTTTATGTATTCAAAACTATAGATAAGCAGTCACACAATTCAAATACAAACGCAAGCACAATATGAGCAAACCTGCTGATCAGTATTACGACGTGAACTTGTCTGGTTAAATAAGTTACACACACAGAGCATACGAAAAGGGTGACACACACAAAGATATATTTTTTCTTTTTTTCTTACCTCCTGTTCAAGTGATTGAGTCGTTGTTGCATTCGATCGTACCTTAAGAAGAAAAAAAGAGAAAATCTTTCATTATAAAACAAAAAGCCAATTAACTTTCAATAAAATTTACTCGTTGAAAACGTGTTCGATGTGTTTCAAAAGCAAAATAAAAATAAAGAATAAGCAATGCACATGGATTAACATAATCAGTCCATGGTAATTTCTTTTCTAAATATGGATCTCTATCTGTACAATTACTTATAACGATTGCTGTTAAACCTGTAATGCTAATAAAAAATTATCAAAACATTTATTTATTTATATGTGTAGTCTAATTTTTTTTTTCTTTTCTTACTTGCTCCATAATGATAAAGGTTGTAAAGCTTCTTGAAGAAATCCAAATTGATAAAGATAAAAAATTAATAAATGTATGCCTGTATAAATAGATAATAATGTACGAGCTAATGCATATTTTCTTCCAAAATGAACCGATAATGACCAAATAAAAGCAAGTGTAAGGAAAAAAATAAAGTAAATTGAGTTAATTATACTCGGATACACAAATGCAGCAAAACCAACAATAACAAATTGAAGAAATACACGTGTTCGTCTTACTATAGATAATAATCTTGGCCATAATTTCTGTTGATTTATTGTATTTATATGACTATTTATTAATGGTGGTATTACTGATGGTGTTTGAGGTTCATTTGTTTCATGAAGTCTTGTTGATAATAATTGACGTCGAATACTAACCAAACAAATTATTGATATAGCTAAGATGAGTATATCAGGAAAGATTAAACGTAAAATACGAATAGCATTTGAATTATCAAGACTTAAACAAATAAAAATATATATAATGTTTAAAATAATACTCTGAATTTGATAACATACCGTTCTAAACCAAAATATCGAAGAACTCGAGTTAATTCGGTACCTAAAATAGATTTGATAAAGAGTTTTTAATTTGACAAAAAAAAAAATTTGTTTCATACAATTATTGAGAGCATGACCATAAGGTTTATTAATAAGAAGAACTGATTGAAATACGATTTGAGCAAAAACTGTGAGTAGACTTAGAAAACCAATAAGAAATATAAATGGACGAAAACGTACTAAAATAAAATTTTGATACATATATATTTTATTTTAAATTTCATGACTAATTTTACTTCGTATATTTTTTTCACTTATAGAGCCAACCCATGGAAGAATCAATAATAGAAAAGCATAAATTAATGAAATAACACTATATCGAAAGATAATTCCTATTTATTTGGAGAAAAAAAAATCGATTTAATGTTCTTTTTTTTGAAGAAAAAAAATTTTTTTTTTTGTTCTTACCGATAAGCAATGAAATTGGAAGAAGTATAAGGATAAATACAGATAAGATTGATCTAACCATTCTTGTCAATTCTCTAGAAATATCATTAAAAAAAAAAACAATTAATTTGTATTATAAAGTTTGAATTTTTACTGTAGATAATATTGTCGACTGATAATGAGAGAATTCTATAATCTGAAACTAATTTTGAAATTCAAAAATATCGACTTTCGAAATATCACGTATCAGTGAGGAAATTTAGCTATATGTACATAAAGTGTCTAGATAATGTCCTTTGCCTTTATGTCTTTTTCCTTTCCTGAAGCGCAAGAACAACAAAAAGAAAAATAAATAAAACCAACTAATTATCTATTTGTTACAATGTTTGTCTATATGATTATATGTCAATCGAGTGACGTTGCATATACGACTGTATCCATATAATATAGGACTCAATAAGAAGCGATGTTACATATATATATTTATTTATTTTTTTGTTATATGTCATCACATTATATTTAACGTGACGAACGCAAAAATTTACCTTGATGTAATCAATTGTATAAGCTATCTGTCAATATTTTAATCAATCTAGTAATAGAAACAGATTGATGATGTGCATAAAAAACAATAACATATATAATAAAAATAATCAATATCTTCCTCCACCTCAAATGACAATATTATAGGACAGAAAAATATTTGATAGAATCAATACTATATACTTTATTGATGATAAATGATCAGATCTTATTCTAGAGTATTCGTCATATTTACTTTGGTAATGAATATGCATGTAGATTAATGCCGATCTTTGCTTTTATTAAGATAAGAAATTGTCTGTGTTAGTGGTTTAATACATAGATTTTGAAGATTGATATCATATGTATTAATCAATCATAAATGTATATTATTACATTCAGTTGAATTATTACGATATCTCATACTTGTATGTGTATAACTAAGGTTGATTATAAATAAATAGACGAGAAGAGGACAAATATTTTGTTTTTCTTCTATATCTCTCTCTCTCGCATAAATGATTACAGGTGCGGGAACTATATATAGTACAATTCAATATATTAATTACAAACGGGATGATTCCATGGTATGTGTAACATTTCATACATAACTTTCTTCAAATCGTGTAGAGCATAATTGATTTCGCTTACTATGATGACAAAAGATCCATTGTAAATTCTTATATTGAAGAGATCAACAAGCCATTAAATTATAGTTAATACTATCTAAAAACATTACCAAAAAAAAGGGCTAGACTATCCATCATCATATATCTCTATTGCGAGAATATTAGACAGAGTGTCATTTTAATACGAAAAGATTACCATAAGTAATTGAATTATATGGTATTATATGGTAATGGCACTTTGTTTATTACTCTCGCGATAGAGATATATGATGATGAATATTCTAGCCTTTTTTTTTTAGACAATATTAACTATAATTTTATGAGTCACTAATCTCGTCAGTATGAGAATTTATAGTGGATCTTTTATCATTATTGTAAATAAATCGATTATGCTCAACATAATTTTAGAGCAACTCGATGTAAATATGTCATATAATACGGTAGAATCATCCCAATATGTTCTCTTATTTTTCATAGATTTATTTTTGTGATCTCTTATAGATTCATGAATACAATTCAAATAAAGATACAAGTGACATTTAATACACATTGATCGTATTATTTATCTTACTAGTTATAATCATAATCATTTATGTTGACATATTGTAATCGTTGTAGAAAATAATATTCTTGTTAAATTATATACAAATAAAAGATTAAAAAGATTAATGACTAATCTACAAAGACTAATAATATAATTGAATGTTATACTGTCATGATGTTTTTGTATATAAAATAAATATCTTTTATTTATTAAATAGAACAAAATGTTTTTTTTTCTTTTTCGTTACGAATGTTACAAATAAAAATAAAATTCAAATAAGAAAATCATGCCAAAATGATCTTCTATCGAATGTATAACTATTTTTAATATCCATATTTGGTCTGTCCGTTTGTAAAAGAACACGATCATTCGATGAATGTTTTTTTAACCTTTTCAACAAGTGATTGTATACATTTACGTACAAACCATGTTGACAATGAGATAAACGTAAACGACTTTGTTTTTAAACTACTATAAATAAAAACAATGCACAACTGATGCACATCGTGTATAGTTTCAATCTGGATCAATAGCAATTATCTCTTTATAAATGTCTAATTTGACAACTTCAGTCCAATTATCAGGTGAGACTCCAAAGTTGCCTGATTTTTGTTTTTGTATAAAGAACTTTAGCAAAAGCAGCTGTGAATTGTTATTGAATCAATATTTTTGACTGAATCCCGATCAAGTAGATTCATGTTTTTTTGTTGATTCCTTATTATGAGTACTCTTTCAAGGACAAGAATCTAAAAAAAATTAAATAAACTCTATTATTTGTTTATATAGAATTACTAAGTTGATTCTAATTCAATTTGAAAACAGTGTTGATATTTATTAATGTGATTTAATACACTATACGAGTGTTACGTGATGTTAAGAGTTGTTTTTAAAATAAATAGTGAATCACAAGGTATTTAAAAATAAATAAATAAAAAAAAAAGAAGGTTTAAATTGCAATTCAAATGGCTTCTTTTTCTATTAGTCATTGATCCATTTAAATGCAGATATGCTCTGAAAAATAATCTCTTAAGGTGTGCTCAGGTAAGATTATTATTTAAAAAAATAAAAAATATATATGAAACAATTTATTTTATTTTGATTTAATTATTGACATTATTAATTATAACGTTTCTTGATGTACAATTTAATAGATGTCACTAGTACACTCTGATAGTTATAATGCTAAAACAATTGATTTTTTCTATTTAATAATATTTTTTAAATAAGTTTTCAAATTATTTTGATGTTGAATACGAATTATCGACATCGTAGAAGATCAACAGTCAGACAGCAATTAGCAATTTTTGTTCTGTTGAAATCATTTGTTTTGCTAAAAAGTATGAAATCTATTATAAAAGATATTAATTTAGTAAGAGATCATTAATATCGGTTATTTGAGTAGCATGTGACAATAACTATACAGTCACAAATAGTTATATTACGTGTTACCATTAGATATGGACAGGGGCGGCGCGAAGAGCACAGAGCAGGGAGGGGGGTATTGTGAAAAATGGGAGAAAATAGAAAAAAGTCTCTAAATTGTAAGTACCTAGTACCTTTTTTTACTAGTGTTTTTGAAAGCAAGTAGATAGGTAGATTCTTCTGTTATCAATTATAAAAAATGGAGAACATTGTAATAAAGGTTCTTCAGAACCGGAAGAAGTTCAAAATATATCTTCTGGGAAGTTGAAAAATTTTTCAGACACTTTCTCCAAAATTGGAGAAATTTTGAGACATTTTTTCCAAAATTGAAGAAATTTTGGGACATTCTCTCATTAACTGGAGAAATTTTAAGACATTTTCTCTCAAATCGGAGAAGTTTTGAGACATTTTTTCCAAAATTGAAGAAGTTTTAGGAACATATTCTCACCAACTCGAGAAATTTTGAGATATCCCCTCACCAACTAGAGAATTTTTAAGATATTTTCTGCCAAATTGAAGAAATTTTGAGACATTTTCTCCAAAATTAGAGCAATTTTGGGACATTTTCTCATTGACTGGAGAAATTTTAAGACATTTTCTACCAAAATGGTGTGATTTTGGGACAGTTTTTCTCAAAATCGGAGAAAGCTGCAGTCGAACTTTCCAAAGCAGGAGGGGGGTATCCTCCCCCCACCCCCCCGCTCGCGCCGCCCCTGGATATGGACGAGATATTCTGGATGGAAATAAATTTGAAATAAAAAACGAATAGATTCACTCATGTCTGTAGCGTGAAAGAAGAGAATCTTAAAGATTAAATAGATCGTTATATGACAGCAAAATATCTTGAATTCATCGATGTTGACCTCGAAATATTGTTTTCACTGCGATGACGCTCTTAATTTAAGATGTGACAGCTGTGAGCAGGGCTCTCGATGTGTGGAAAGAGCTGCCCCCCCCCCTCCCTCGCACAAATTGAAAATCTGTTTTACTGTCTGGCAAATTTTTAAATAAGTGGTGTTCGGAGGATCTTCGCAAGCTATCCCCCCCTTGGGCCCGGTTTTGTTTTTGTGTATGGAACTTTTTCCGAGATTTGGCTCATCCCTGAAGGGAGATAAAGGAATCTTTTCAAAGTTACCTCCCTCCTTGGGCCTGATCACAATTTTCTATGAAACACGGAAAGTGGCGCGCTACCGCCCACCCCCGGTCACCAGTTTTTATGAACAACTAGGAAATTTTCGGTAGCTATTTTTGAAAAGCTTTCGTTAACAGACTATCTGCGAAAGTTTATGAAAAGTGTCTGCTCCTCTCCCTCCCCCTCTCAAAGACAATCGAGAGCCTTAACTATGAGTGATTGCTTTCTAGCCTTTCGTCTAACTATATACAAATATCCATCACAGCTGAAAACCTTTCGCTAATATTCTAAAACATGTTTCGAATTTCACTGCTCTACTTCTACCTTACTAAAACTATTGTTACTTATCTATGACATGTATCGAGTCTCGGAGTGCTACATTTGCGGATACTGAAATTCCATTCAAAGTTCTACAGTTTTGCAATATCCTTCGAAAAGAAGTAGCCGCCGCCGCCGCGATGGACATTTCTGCTATACAATTACGTAATATACTTAAAAAAAACATGTATAGAATACAACAAAATCTTGACTAATAAAGTTGGTAGATTGCGTAATTACATGTATCAGTAAAAATAGAAAGAAGAATGATTGTACTTGGTTAACTATATAGTTACTATTAGAAGAAAAAACACGTGAAAGATGTTGTCAACTTTTGAAACCTTACCCGATGAAATTTTAATGATCATTTTGAAATATTGTGGTGATGCTTATACAATATTAAAAATATTTCTTGGTTTTAATCAACGTTTAAATATGATTCTTATTGATAAACGTTTACATTTATTAACTGATTTTTTACATATTAATGTACGAGATGATTATTATAATTCTGAAGTGTTTCAACAATTATCTAAACAATTATTATCTATAAATACAACAGTCGATGAAGAAAAACTTTCTTCAATTTTACAAACATTACTTAGTTTTCATATAAAACAAAAATATATTCAATTGGGACATGAATTTCAATTATATCTTGAAAATTTTAAATTTATTCGTCAATCATTGACCACTGATGAAATTATTAAAATAGATCATAAATTAAAAATAGAATTTGATAGTTTATACAATGATTCTATACGTATAGAATCTATTAAACTTATTAAATCATTTGTTTTAACAAAAGGTGCTTGTTGTACATGTGATGATTATGAATTATGTCGATTTAATCTTACTAAAGCTGTAAATGAATTATTTCTTTCTCATATTAATGATATTCAATTAAAATATTCAATATCAATCAATTCATTTTTACAATTATTTAAAATTCTAATTATTTCAAATACTTCTCTAATAAATAATCGAGATTATGTTGGTAATGGTGGTTGTAATCTTGAATATTTTCTTATATATACTCTTTATAAATTAGGACATTTTTATCATGATAAATCTTCAATTCCTATCAATATGAAATATTATCGAGCTACGATTGATTTATTTCTTTTTATTATACAATGTCAAAAACAAATATTTGAAAATGAATATTACATTCGAGAGAGTATGTTTAATATTCTCGAAATGATTTCGAAAATAAATAATGATATATTTATTCAAGTTATTCAATGGGAAATATTGAAAATAGTTGTTCATGAATATATTCTAAAAGCAAATGAATTATGGAATGATTATTTAATATGTAGATTTAAACAAATATTAAAAAATTTAATTGAAAATAATCGATTAGATATACTTATATATCTTTATCGTGATATTGGATTTGAACAATTTTTTAATATACAAAATTATACTCGACAATGTTTAGATTTAATGACAAAAAATCGAATGGGAAGAAAATTTTTCTATATGATTGCAGATGAAAAATTATTGGAACTTTTTTTTTCGAAAGAAAATTTAATATTTATTTTATTAGATAAAAAAGAACGTCAATTATTAGAAAAACTATTGAAATTATCACCATATCTTATACATCAATTAGATGAAGATGGAAATGATCCATTACTATATATATGTCTTAAAGTTTCTGGTTGTCGACATCGAATTATTGAATTTTTAATTAAAATAGGATCAAATTTACAAAGAACAAATTTTAAAGGACAAAATTTTATCGATGTATTACAATTACAAAGAAATCAAAAATTATTGAAAAAATTAATTGAACAAGATATCATTACAATTAATATATAATATTCAATTCTATTTATTATTCCAACTTTATATAACGAAGAATAGAATAATCTTGTTAAAACTGTGTACTTGACATGATAATAAAAACTATAGAAATCAGTATTTTATCCTGCGTGGATATTGAAAAGATGGTGCTCCTTTAAAGGTTCAGTTGATTCTTACAGACTTTCTCCAAAGAAGAAAGTCTGAATTAAGAAAGCTTTCATAAGAACATCAAGACATTCAGAATGAAGACGAATGAACTTCAAGTTATTATCATATTGAGACGCTTCTTCATAATCATGTGATTATCTGATAGACAAGCGATCACCCCTCTTCATTTATTAACTTTCCTCAGATGACGATAACAGCAATCACGACAATTGAAATATTCATTATGATAAAAACAATATATGCTTTACTTATCCAAAGTAAAAATGCCATTCATTTTCTAATTGTAACTTCAGATTACATTGCATTGCGATTAATCAAAAATCGAAGATTATTCAGCAATATTTAATCAAACATACAATGTGAATCAAACTTTTCTTTGTTTTTATTTCAGATTTTTT